ATGTTAGTATGTATGCACTGTTAAATGATTATAAATGATAGTAAATTATTTTCGTTGTGGTTTGTGTTATGTAATCTATGTGATGTACTATAGTGTGTATTAGTTTTGTATGTTACTAGCTCTCTCTTGATGTTCTTTTTGATTCTGTCTCTGTGATTCTTCTCTCTCAGTTTTATTCCTTAAAATGGTCAGTTCATTTATAGCCTAATAGCTATTTGCCTACTTTCTGCGTTAAACTCTCACAAATAAGTGTAAATAATTATTGGAGTGCAGAAATGCATGTTATTATCAGCACATGATAAACACAGCAGATTAGTACAAGTGACAAACAAAATCAAATGAATGATAAACTGATGATAATTGAATTCATGTATTTTTATCAGCAAAAATTGACAAAAAAGTAAACAAAAGCAAAAATCAAGTTAGCATGCATGAATGCTTCAAAACAGATCAACAACAGATTCCCTGCGATGTCTAAAAACATCAGTAGAACTGAGTACAATATCATTCCTCTGCTCATCAACAGTTTTATGAGAATCAGTTACATCTAAAAGAGGCTCATCATCATCACCATCATTATAGAGCTTATTAAACAATTTCCTCACTAGTACATTATACCAGGGTGTTTATGATAGCTGCAAGCAGAGGTGATGCAGTACAATTAACATAGAACTGGCAGTGAAATGAGACAAGCAAGTATTGAACCAGATCCATACCACACTGTCTTCAGTATAAGCTACAGAGAAACCAACCATCATACGTAAATTGAACCTCTATTATATTGCGCATAAGTAACAGATGGCTGTAAATAGGAATAATACCTGTTTACAAGTTTAATAGACAATTTACAGGTAATAGGTTTCATATTATACACATAGTTTAACCTTTTAAAGTTTACAAGTTACATTATGTTTATCACTATAGTCTATAGTCTATGAACAATTAACAGTGAACAATAATAATCAAAACTAAGTTAACATGGACTATTGTACCATTTTACTATTCTATTAAGTTAATTCTAACTATTTTTTATAAGCCAAACAGGATATGTTTAAAGTATTATATATGTAAAGATCATTGATAACAACACACAGTCGGGATTATCCAGTTCATATTGGTATACTAGTGAAAGATGATGATAGTGTTTGTGATACTTATCTACTTCAATGGTCTCCTTGTTAGCTCTGAGAGTAACTACCTTCCCTTCCTTCATCCTACTAACTACTCAATAATAAGTGGTCAAGATGATTATGCTAAAAATGTACTGCTGCCCTCTTCATTAAGGTTTGGATCATGCCATACTGTTGCATGGGTTAGCTAAACTCTAATTAGTACAAGACTAGTAACTTATTATTTATAGATAAGTACAAATGGATTGATTAGTTTAGGAACAAGTTTCCCTGCCTTCAATCCAAATTTTTTTCCTATTACTACTCCAGTCATTGCTCCATATTGGGATGACATTAACATAAACGGAAGAGGTGAAGTACGACATGCTATTGTAACTCCAACAACAAATCTTTCATTGTGTAATCAAGTCAATGATTACTTATCTACTTCAACTGGTAGTAGTGTATCTGTTGAATGGATACTGTGGGCCTACTGGTATGATGTATGTCCAATTGGTGATGAATATTGCTATGATACTGAGGTTAATAGCATCTATAACTTACAATAATAATAATATTTCTTGTAGTCTAATCATTTCCAGGTTGTATTAGCTCATCAAAGTAATGCCACATATGCTGTGTTTATATACAAGTGTGGACTCATACGATGGACAGCATATAGAGCTGGTGTTGGTATTAATAGTGGCAGTGGGTATTACATCAATCATCCATTATCCCGTACTAATAATGTTACTAACATAGCCTGACTGCTATAATGTAGTATGAGGATGGACTAATATTGTATACAGACTAGATCAAGGTATTATCAATGTAACATGCTCTTACAATAGTTTAATTTGTTATAGATAAGTTTGAATTCTTATCCATTACACTTCACAATATTACAGTATCATGGAAGCTCAGCATTCCAGCTATTAATTGGAGTTTAAGCACCTAGGTTAAACGAAGTTAATATCCATGAACTGATTGCCACATGGCTAGGGTTGGTCGGCAGGCGTGGCTTTGCTGTTAGCACATTGCGTTGCTTTTTTATTGGCTGCTGGCTGCTCTGAGTATTAGTTGCTGCTGGCTGCTCTGAGTATTATTGGCTGCTGGCTGCTCTGAGTATTATTGGCTGCTGGCTGCTCTGAGTATTATTGGCTGCTGGCTGCTCTGAGTATTATTGGCTGCTCTGTGTGTTATTGTTTCTCTGTCTCTCCCTTCAATCTCTCTTTCACCTCTTGAGCTTTCTGTTCCTAATGAAGTTGGCTTCGAGTCTATCCCAGACAATCCGGCAGGAGCCCTCCTCGGTATCCCAGAGTGGCAATTCAGCGTCACTGGACGAGCGGCGGGATCTGATGCTCGCCATTTCTAGCCAGCTCAACTCTCATCATGCACTACTGCCCTACACTGCTGCCGTTTCTATTGCTCCCAATAGGTCCGTGCTGCCTCTAAGGCTGTCTTCATCTCTGCCAGGAGGCCAGCATCTGGTCAGTGCAGCTGCAGTTCACTTCACTATCCGCAGCTGTGTCAGCAGTCTAACCACAGCCTTCCTACCTCCTCCAACCGCAGTATCATCACTCAGACTGGATGCTTTCCTACTGCTGGCCCTAGGCTTCCCCAGGGATTGGATCTTCT